TAAGTGCACCACATGAAATTACTTAAGTCTGTCCCAGGAGAAACATCTGCAAGATACACATTCATTGCCTCTCACTCATCCTCCATCAGGCTGCAGCCCATCCCAGCTCACATATGGCGTGAGTCTGGCCTGACAGTCTCCTCATGGTGTCTATTATTCCCACAAACCAAATAAAAAACCTTTGCAAAAATTGTGAGCATGATTTGGAAATGCATCAGCTGTTAAAAACTCAGCTCGGAGCATCCACTGAAGCCACTGAAAGCTGTTGTTGGTGCAAACAGACCCAGTGTGTTTGATTGTAAACCCACTCTCAGACTCAGAAATATGCCCCGCCTCAGCAGCAAACAAACTCTGCTGATTTGGGCAAAAGTCAATAAACTGCAATCAAAGTGGACCTGATAAAGAAAAGTGGGTAGTGTAAACTAAATGATGGCATCAATTTAAAAACAAAGAGGTGTGGAAAATGGGTTAGAAATAATGCACTTTCTGCTTTGAAAGTGAATTCTATAAACTGTACCTGAACGATTCAATACAATTCAATCATTGTTATTATCAAATATTGTAGAAATAAAAAAAAATTGATGTTATTTTAGAGATCTTCAGTTATAATAGGCTGGATGGTACTGTTATAATGTATAATGTTATTATTATGTTAGTATCTGAAAGGTCCCTCAGTCGTCCAGGTAGAATCCATGACAAAGGAGAAATTCAATTTGTCAACTGGACAAACGTTCGACCAAATAAACTTTTGTCCAGTCGACAAATTTAATTTCTCCTTTGCCGTTATGTTATTATGTTATTATTATGCTTGGTTAATTTATTGGATTTACAAAACACACGACAACAATGGCACCTCTTTTAAGGGAACTAAACCAAATTACAACTGTAAACGAACAAAGTAATTTGTAGGAAGTTTAATACATTGTAACTTTGTAAATTTACATGTTTGCTTATAGGAAATCCTTCCTATTATGTACTGGTTAATGATTAAAGACCACTGTGACACTCGATGTGGTTTTACATCAATCATGTTTCTATAATGATCAGTAGGTGGAGTCATGAGCCACTGAAAACAGCTGTTTAGAGCTGTAGTTCCTACCGTTTTTCAGCAGTAATCCCAATTTTAACGGCGGATACACTGGTGATCTTGACATTCTTCATCTGACAAGCAACCGTCTTATAAGGAAAAAAATATTATATGGATAATGAATTTAAAATACTTAACTTAACATGCTATCCCTTTGTTGAAATTCACAGTCTAGTTTGAACCTCTTTTCTAAACTGGAACCTCTTCCTAGACTGGAAACAACTGGTTTAGAGCGCATTCTGTACACTGGCCCTAAAACAATAAAATGTTTCTGTAACTTCCTAACATGTCACAATGACATAGTGTCCCTTTAAAACACACAAAGTGGATGACAGGCGTGGCTTCTGAGCAAGTAGCAGCTAAAATAAGCACAGTTAATTTCACTAAACTATGTAAATTTACCTTTTCTCCCCCAATGGTTAACTTGGGTAAAATATCAAGACTGACATACCAGGGAAATATTTCCTTAAAAAATTAATTAATTAATGATGCAAATACAAGCACCGCAAAGTCCCATGACCTTAGCAGTCAAAATAAATCTCATACTTCCCATAAGCTTCTATTGTCTTCACTTACTCTGCTTCACAATGAGACAACACCCACTGGATTATGCGGAAACTTATAACATAAATTGTGGAATGACAAAAGTTAACACAATAATAAAACAGTAGCAATTACAGTTTACTACACTGAGTATAGGTGTAAGCAATACTGACAATTGAACAGCTTCATATCTTTGGGTGTAGGGCTGGGTATCATTAAAAAGTTACCGATCCAATCCATATCTCAATACATCGGTCACGATATGATACATATCTTGATACAGTGCACTTTTGATTCGATATGATATATTTCAAATCGATTAGATATGATTCAATAAAAAATAATGGCTAAATGATGGCTGTGATACTAAAAGTCTTTGTTAAACCCCTTCTTGTGCAAAGATCACATGAAACACATAGATTTTAATCATCAAAACAGTGAATATGTTCAATGTGTTGCATAAATGAATTTCCTTCCTCTAAACAAGGAACAAAACTCTAGCACTGGAAAGTAAAATAACTTAGTAAAATATACCAAAAAATACTCTTGGCAATATATTGATACAGCAGCCCACGATATCGATACTGTATCATCACATTAAACAATACGATATATCAATATTTTGATAAAAATACAATGTGGAAAAATCTGTTTTTAAAAATGCACTGTTTAACCTTTATTTTGGAGAGTTCGCCACCTGTTTGTCTCCATGGAGAGTTATTTTTTTGTCTTGAATGTCCCAGTATGGCATTAAATGTATCCATTTTGCATTTACTCAATAACATGTTTTTATTGACCTAAAACTTGCAATCTTACTGTGAGTATGCTCCCCTCTTCACAGGTCTGACATGTACCCTGGCCCTAACTGTCTTCGTAAAGATAAATAAGTATAATGCCATACTGTGGAACATTCCAGGCAATATTTCCATGGACAGAAGCAGGTGACTGACCCTCCAGAAAAGTTACACAATGCACCTTTAAAAGTCTCACAAAGGTGCATATATTGAACAAATGTGAATGACAAAACAATAATTGTGATATTCTGATTTCTCATAAATCTTCACAAATAATATTTCAATACTTCGCCGATCTCAATCATCTCAAATCACATTTCTAGTGGAGGGTCCGCCACCTGTGTGTCTCCATGGAAATGTTATTGCTTTGTCTATAATGTTCCACTGTATAGATTAAACCTGTCTATCACGAGGGAGACAAGCAGGTTACAGCACTACGCTGCATTACAGTTCAGATCTGTGGAGAGAGTTTAATGGAGTTTAATGTTATACCATGGAGCATTCCAGGGAAAGCAATAACATCTCCATGGAGACAAGTAGGTAGCGGACCTTCCACCAGAAAAGTTGCATAGTGCACCTTTAGATTAAAAAAATGTAGCGGTCTCTAGCTCATACAGCTGCAGAGGATGTGCACCTGCCTTAATGAAGAGAGTCAGGTCCAGTCTGCTACAATCTGCAACTATTTCTCCCTGTGTTTCATGAGTAACTGGCCCCGATTTACTACACAAATAATATAACTGGTAAACTGTGTTAACATGAAAACACACAATGAAACAATGAGTTCCAGAATCTAAAAATGACATGTGTTTTAACAGAGAGCCAACGCCCACTACGCTATTACGCCGACTATTAAATGCTATATATACAGTAGGCCTAATATGTCACTGTAATAGACATGGAATTAAAACCAGGATATAAGAGTTACAGAATGTCACCTCATATCTAAATAGTCCATATGCTTTGATGTAAAATGTCTGAGGAATGCAAAAGAAAGATCATCATGTTAAATTAAAAGATGGGGTGAGGTTAAATACTAGGGATGTAATGATATCCAAATCTCACGGTACGATATTTATTGTGATATTTTGAAGAGGCTAATATAATTGTAGATGGGACACTTTTTTGCTTTTAAAATACCTTCACAAGATTTTGGTGTGAATTATTTCTGTAAAAAGTAAAAACATATATCTTCATGTTGTCTGCAGTGAAATGAATCTTGGGATATGTAGTTTCTAATGTTCATAAGCTGTTGCTACTATAAAACCATGCATTTAAGCAAAGGAACTTATATATATTGTGACAGTCCACGATATTATTGTGAGACTTTTGACAATACAATATCACAATATTTCAGTTATTGTTACATCCCTATTAAATACGTGCTTCTTCTTCTCACTGCTTTTTGGGCTAAAGTAAAAGGTAACAATGCATATTATTTGTATGTTTTTTTTTGTTAGTTTAGTCTTTATTTGTAGAGACAGTGTACAGAGACATGTTCGGCACCAGATTATACCTTAATAGCTAGTTTCCATCTGCAATCCTGTTGTTCTTGTTTCTACACTGATATCAACATGGATGTTATTAAGTTCCATTGTAAAAGAAGGTAAAATGTGTACTTACTGAAAAATAATTTAAATTTAAGTTTACAAAGCCATGATTTTTAGCTTTCTGTTCAGGTTAGACTACAAATATCCACAAATGTCATGCAAAATAGATTAAAACAACCATAATAAATGAAACTAATTCATCTTTTCATTGGAATAGAAAATACAGAATTAAATTGAACTTGAAATTTGAATCAGTATCTATCTACATCAAGAGTCACTCATGATTGAGGCAAAGCAGTGGTAGTATTTTTTTTATTTTCTTCAGTCATTAACATAATTTCATGTTTGCTACAGTTAAAGGTGCACTATGTAACTTTCTGGTAGAGGGTCCATCATCTGCTTTCATTTATTCAATTACAGGTGGTTTTATAGCTCAAAAAAACAGAGAAAAACAGGCATTCTGAGTGTGAACGGGGTTGCCTCTCCACAGATCTGACCTGTAACTTGGTCTGGTTTGGTCTCCATGAAGATAGAAAGGTTTAATACCATACTGTGAAACATTCCAAACAATGCAATAACATCTCCATGAAGAAAAGCATTTGACAGACCCTCCACCTGAAAAATTACACATTGCACCTTTAAGCTATTTATATATTATTTAAATTCAGTGTCCAACTCTGCCTATGTTGTATTAGATGTGGTGTTCACTTTGACATACAGTCCACATGTTGTGAAGGCAAGTCATGTAAATGCATCGCTGAGAGAAAGAGATTTATGCAAAGCTCTTTGTCTCTCCATTTTGGTTGACTCCCTCTTACCACCACCAGGAACACAACCAGAACTAAAGGTGGGTGTGGACTCTACTGACAATCCAGTTTTCCTTAAAAAATGTCCTGTTGGAATTCCTTCTATTCCACCTAGGACAAGATAAACCAGTTTCTTCCTCTCTCTCTGTCTCTCTCTCTCTCTTGGCCTCTCTCCTCACTTATCCTGAATCATTCATTAACAGCAGCAGATCCACACTGTATAAAAGACATTTAGTTTGTTATATTATTGTTTTTTGTTCGTTGTTATGCTCTTTCTCACCACAAGAGGGGGGCGCTTGCACACCGGAGGGGTCACGAACTTTTGAGTTAGTATAGCGGTGTGACGCTCGGCGTATCGGCTTTGTCTCTGACCCCTTAATGTCTGGGTGATAGTGTGCGTCCTTTAGACGTAAGTATCATTGTGTGTATGAGTGGTATTGTGTTCAAGGTTTGTAGCTGTGGTTTGTCTGTGTTTTGGTGCAGTTTAGAGGTCTTTGTGCGTAACTTTGTTTTGCTAGCTAGCCTCGCGTCTGTAGTTGCGCATTGTTGAGTGTGTAGGTTATTTCACAAACCACCATTTTGATTTGTTATTGATATATTGTTGTATTTGTTTGTTCTTCTCTTTTAGAGAACCACACACACACAAACGTCTTAAAGTGCTCAGACATTAAAGAACTGTTCAACATTACCTGGCTGTGGACCCCTCATTGCAACTCACCTGAAAGTCTATAATTGCTGCCCTGACCCGACACCCTGTGGTGATTGCTAGCCAGAAGTTTTCTTATATTACAATCCCCATTACAATTTTGGTCCTTCGAGCCGGATGAGCAACCACTGCAGTCAAGATGTTCAGGCCACATGAGAGAGAAGCCAATGAGGAACGCCCACACAGATACAGGCAGCGGCCATCATATCTCCAGGACTATGAGGTCGGTTACCCTGGGAGGTCCCGTTTTCCTGAGGATGAGCACACCAGGCACATATCTTCTCCAGAAATAATCAGATCATTCAGGAGCATGAGAGAGGAGAATGACCGGCTGCGCCGAGATGTCCAACGACTTGCAGACATTATCCATAGTGCTCCTACAGTGTCTTCACGGCCTGCGTCACTGCCCAAGCGCCAAGAGGAAACATCTGCCACACCAGCACCTACAAACCAGCAGACGCCCATCAGAGGTCTTCAAGGCCCACGTCAGCCCGTAAGTGCCCCTCCGGTGATCAGAGATGTTTCTCCTGCTCCTGTCGGTCGACATGCCATAGTAGAATCCCTCAGACAGCGCCTGCAGGAAACAGGATTATCAGATCGAGCAGAGGCACCAGACACTGCTGGCACTTCAGATCATCTCCCCAAGGGTGAATATGTACTGGAAGACATTCCTGAGAGCCCATCGCCGTCAGAGCAGTTGTGTCACCAAGATGACAGAAGCTCTCCCCCACGTGGTAAAGCTCGCCACCAAGCTGAGTGGCCCGATAGCAAGCCTCGCTTCAAGTCTGAGGAGCAATATGATCGCTATTCTGGCCACCCCCATCGCCGTGATGACAGGTACCACCCTCGTTATGACTCTTCTCCACCCCGTCAAAGTTATCCAAGATCCAGTAATGAGTACAGTCGTCCTGCTCCATCTTATCGCCACAGTAGTCTAAGAGCTCACCCTGACAGCCGCTACTATGGGTATGAGAGGGGGTACTCATCTAGTTACAGAGACCATCACGATGACTCCGGCCATGCATATTATGAGAGGAGACAACGAGAGGGCAGACACTCACCTGATCCATCATATTCATCATCACGTAGCCACTCCCCATACAGGAGGGCACCAGCTCGAGAGATGTATCGCGGACCCAAGCCAACAATCCCAGACTTCAAGTCAGAAGACCCACGTGAGTTTGCTAGATTAAAGCTGGCCCTGGACAATTTATTGCCATATGATGCATCAGAGCACTTCAAGTTTCAAATACTCACTGATCATCTCAAATGTGAGGAAGCACTGCTCATTGCTGACTCCTACAGCAACAGTCATTACCCATTCACAGACACTATGATGGCGCTCACAGAGATGTATGGTCAACCTCAGCAGTTAGCATTGAAGAGGATCTCCAATGTGATGGATGGGCCCAATATAAGAACTGGGGACATTAAAGCCTTTAAGTCATTTGCTCTTCAGATCCGTGCACTGGTTGGGATGCTACACCAACTGGGTAATCAGGGATGGACTGAACTGCAGTGCGGCTCACACGTCTCTCGCCTCTTAGCTAAGTTACCACATGACCTAAGAGCTAATTTCCACAGATTTGTGAACCCTATCTCCACTCCCATACCTACACTCCTCGACCTGGCTGACTGGCTCGAATATGAGGTGAGAGTTCAAGTTAGTGGAGATCAACATGTCAGTAACCCATCCAGGGAGAGATCAGCTCCATCCAAGAGCCAAAGCCCCGCTTTCAAGTCTCAGAGATCTACCACCATTCTCCTTGGCAGTGAATCAGACACAATAAAGAAAGCAGCTATTTTTCCCGCTCCAGCACAGAGAGAGGGTACACAAGATAAGCCTAAAAAGTACTGTCCCTTCTGCGACACAGGGCAGCACTATTTCAACCAGTGCAGCAACTTCAAACTTCTGTCAGTGGAGCAGAAGACACAGTGGATCAAGACGAACAATCGCTGCTGGAGATGTGGACGTGAGCACCTAGCCGCCAAGTGTAACCTCAAGGCCAAGTGCAAGCAGTGTGAGAGGAAACACCTGGACATTCTCCATGAAGTTAACACCAGCCAGAATGCCACAGCAACTAGTAAACCCCCAGCACCTGAAGCCAGTACATGCCTTGTGAGTTCTGCGTCAGAGACTCTATACGTCGACCGCCCAGCCAGCAGCCGCCAGGTGTTACTGAAGCTGAGTCGAGTCATCCTCCAGAGCGGCAACCAGATACTTGAAACCTACGCCATACTGGATGACGGGTCCGAGCGCACCATACTCCTGAATGATGCTGCTATTCAGTTAGGTCTTCAAGGGCAGGCTGAAGAACTCACACTCCGCACAGTCCGACAGGAAATCTGTCCCATTCAGGGAGCAACTGTATCCTTCACAGTGGCTTCTGCTTCAGAACCGGAGAAGTGCTACAAGATCAACAAAGCCTTCACTGCCAGAGAACTGAGCCTAGCCCACCACACCTATCCAGTCCAAGCTCTGCAGCACAAATACCGTCACCTGAGAGACATTCCATTGCCCGCTATCAAGGATGCCCAACCGCTGCTGCTGATTGGGTCAGATTATCCTCATTTGATAACTCCAGTGGAACCAGTGCGTCTTGGCCCCCCTGGCGGACCTGCAGCAGTGCGCACTAGATTAGGATGGACTCTACAAGGCCCTACAAGCTTGCTATGTCATCAACTGTCCCCACAACAGTGTCTTTTTACCATCTGCAACCCTCCAGAAGCTGAGCTCCTCAAAAATGTGGAGAAGTTGTGGCAGTTGGATATCTTGCCATACAGGAGTGAGCGTCTGATTACCAGGTCAAGGCAGGATGCAGAAGCCGTTCGCATATTGGAGAAGAAGACCACAAGAGTAATGGTGGATGGCGTAAACAGGTATGCAACTCCATTACTCTGGAAACAAAACCTCTCTCCTCTCCATGCATCAAAGGAGGCAGTGCTGGCTCAGTTACGTGGAACAGAAAGACGCCTTGTGAGAGACCCAGAGAAGGCAGCTATCTACTCCAGAGAGATCCACAAGCTCATCGATGCTGGATATGTCAAAGCCATTTCTCCTGCCAAAGCTGAAGAGAGTAACTATTCATGGTTTATTCCCCACCATATGGTGCAGCACAATCAGAAACACAGAATTGTCTTCAACTGCTCCTTCACATCCAATGGACAGAGTCTGAATGACAACCTCCTTCCCGGGCCTACCCTTGGAGCCAGTCTTTTGGGGGTTCTGCTCAGGTTCAGAGAGCACCCGGTGGCCATCAGCAGCGATGTGAAAGGAATGTTTCACCAAGTCCGCCTATTAGAAGAGGACAAACCATTCCTTCGCTTCCTGTGGAGAGATGTTAAAGTGGACCAAGAGCCAACCATCTATGAGTGGCAGGTGCTCCCGTTCGGCACAACATGTAGTCCGTGTTGTGCCACATTCGCACTCCAGATTCATGTTCAAAGGCACACTGAACCAGAAGAAGATGCCCGTCTGTCAGTTGAACGTTGCTTTTATGTTGACAACTGCCTACAGAGCCTCCAGTCTCAAGAACAAGCCAAGCAGCTGGTCAACTGCCTGCACACACTACTGAAGGAGGGCGGATTTGAGCTGAGAGAATGGGCCAGCAACGTTCCCACTGTGATTCAACATCTGCCCAAGGAATCCTGCTCTGAAAACAGTACTCTCTGGTTCACACAGCAAACAGCAGACCCTCAGGAACGCACCCTTGGACTCTTGTGGCAGTGCAAATCCGACACACTGCATTATAAACAGCACCAGTGTGAGTGTCCAGAACTTACCATGCGGAACATCTACCGCCTACTTGCCCAACAGTATGATCCTCTAGGATACATCATTCCCTTCACAACCAGAGCTAAGGTCATTGTGCAGCGTTTGTGGGACAAGAAAAGAGGATGGGACGATCCAAACCTCCCCGAAGATCTGCTGCAGGCCTGGAAAATATGGGAGAAGGAGCTGCCACAGTTGTCACATGTTATGTTGCCCAGATGCTATACCAACCGTGGCATGGACTGTAGTACCAGTAGCAGGACCATACACGTCTTCTGTGATGCGTCTGAACGTGCTTACGGCTCTGTGGCGTATCTGCGGACAGATTGGGGTGATGGACAGGTTCAAGTGGCCTTCCTAGCTGCCAGATCGAGAGTCGCCCCAAAGAAGCAGCTCTCAATACCCCGGCTTGAGCTTTGTGGGGCTTTAACAGGAGCACAGCTAGCTTCAGTGCTAACCAAAGAACTCACAGTCCAGATCCAAGCAGTGGTTTACTGGACCGACTCCACTACAGTCCTGAACTGGCTCCAGTCAGACTCCTGCAGATATAAAGTGTTCGTGGGCACAAGAGTAGCAGAAATACAGGAGCTGACAGACATTAATGCCTGGCGCTACATTGATTCTGTTTCAAACCCTGCGGACGACATCACAAGAGGGAGAACACTGACACAACTCGCTGGAGAGAACAGATGGCGTCATGGACCCCCCTTTCTCTCACAACCATCTGACCAGTGGCCAGAGAAGCCAGTTAATCCGGTTACAGAAGAGAAAGATGAGCTGCGGAGCACTGTGTTTTGTGGCCTGACCAGTTCTGCAGATCCAGCTGTACCTGACATACAGCAGTTTAAAACATATCAAGAGCTGTTAGATGCCACAGCACAGGGGCTACACGGGGCGGCTGATAAAACGCCTCTCACTGCTGACGACTACCATGAGGCAGAGTTATCTCTCCTGAGACATGCACAGACAGAGAGCTTCCCAGAAGAAGTGGCCCTGCTCAGAGCTGGTAAGCCCCTCTCTTCCACTAGCAGATTACTAACATTGTCTCCTGAATATGACCGATCTTCCAGCCTGGTTCGTGTTGGTGGAAGACTTAGAAGATGTGACGCTCTAAACCCAGACATGCTGCACCCCATACTCCTGTCAGCCTCTCACCCAATCTCCAAGCTTCTGATTCAGCGCTACGATAGCCAGCTGCAACACCCTGGAGCTGAGCGTGTGTTTGCAGAGCTGCGCCGGAAGTACTGGATACTGAGGGGCCGAGAAGCAGTTAAGAAACACCAACATACCTGTGTGGACTGCAGGAAGTGGAGAGGCACCCCTCAAGTGCCCAAAATGGCTGACCTACCACCCTCCAGTCTGAGGCTCTTCAAACCGGCCTTTTATTCTACAGGTGTCGATTGTTTCGGACCCATGCTTGTTAAAATGGGCCGACGTACTGAGAAGAGGTGGGGCATTTTGTACAAGTGCCTCACTACACGAGCCATTCACCTGGACCTCTTGCCCAACATGGACACAGACTCATTTCTGATGTCACTCAGACGCTTCATCGCTCGCAGAGGGAAACCTCATGAGCTCCTCTCCGACCAGGGCACTAATTTCAAAGGAGGAAGCAAGGAGCTNTCTCCTTTGAAAATACCAGATTTTGTGCTTTGTTCAGTGTTTGTCTTTCAAATTAAATTACCTCCAAACTATAAAACAAATGTTACGTTACACTTACTTGAGTAGTAGTTTTTCCCAAGTACTTTTTTATTCTTACATGTGTAGTTCTATTTGAATAACCGTATTTGAAGTTACACTTCCATGAATTTTTGGCTACTCTACCCATCTCTGCAAATAAATCACTGCATGGATTTCTACTGGGGTTATGGGTGCCCAGAGGGGACACACATACATACGCAATAAAACGAATAAAACGGATGAATCTTTCTAAGAATCAGGTTAAACCTGCGCTGTCTCTTTTCAAATATCACTCCGGAAAGACTGAGGCTTCACAACTGAGGCTGGGGTTGTTAAACTCAACCCCCAAAAATAATATAATGCACTAAATCTGGACAGGATAGAGACAAAAATGAGGAAAACTACATTATATTTTCTTTTACTTTTGTCTGCAGTGTTCAAAATAAAGTAGGGCTGGGCAAAAATACAAAATATTAATTGGATTAATTGCATGAGTTTGAGTGTTATTAATCACGATTAATCGCATGTTATACGCAAAACCAATGAATGAATTAAAAAGTAGAGTATAGTGACTTTTATTGGAAATGTAAATGAAAGAGCCAAACATTTGTTGTTCAAACAGTATTTCTTTCAGAGTTGAACCCGCAGAGTCTTCAAGGTATTCTGAAGGCTCAAGAAAAAATACTGAATGAATTTTTGTATTACTAATATATTTTTTCAATATTTTTTATTCAGTGAGTAATAAACACTACTGTAGTAATAATTTCTAGATCATTGTTATAAACTTGGGCTGATATTTCTTGGGAAACAAAGGGTTAATATAATGGAATGGAAATGGACCAATCACAGTTTTTCTTCCAGTGGTATCTGGGTAAATCAGTGACTGAGCTATGGGCGGGATCATATCATGAAATCTACCAGGCCTTAGTGAATACCCTGTAATAGTATTATGTAAACCAGACCGCAGCGACAAAAACCGCACTGCAAACCTCTATTTGTACGCCTCAGGGGCGTCTGGAAGAAGGAGAACAAAGAGAAAGACCAGTCAAAGCTGGAGCCCATGGAAGCTCAGAGCCCACGGCTGCGGGCCGCAGAGGCAAGGACACGCTGCCTCTCATGTGGTCAGAAAAAAGAGAACAAAGTGTAAAGAAAAGACATCAAACTTAAAGAAACACGGTGGACTTTTTCAAAATAAAAGAAAAGCCAATGAGCAACAGGTGTTTACAAAAAAAAATAAAAATTTAATTAATTAGTTAACGCAAAATTTACGCGTTAACGTGCCCGGAAAAAAAAAAAAAAAAGGATTAATTTCATATTGTCCACAGAAATTTTTTGTCACTCCAAGTAAGAGTACTGTTACTTCAATTAAAAAATATTACAAGTTGGAGTAAAAATATGCTGCAAGAAAAGAAAATGCAGACAATACAGTGAAAAAGTTGGATTTGGAAATTCAACCAAGAACCTTCTGGTCAGTGGACAAAAGGTGTTTTACCTCCACAGTGCCACAGTCACACTGCTCTCCAGCCTCCACAAAGCCGTTCCCACAGACACCGGGGATCACCAGGGCTCTGTATTCAGGTCTGTCGAGGAGGCAGCCGGGACTGCGGTTCAGGAGGTACTTCTCATAGTTGGTTCCACTGCAGCTGCTGAAGCTCCGAGGAACGTTCCAACTAAACACATGAAACAGAGTTCAAATAACTTCAATACTCAATAACACTTTATAAAACATGAAGTTATATTTTAATCTGGACACAGGCCTACGCAGCATTAATTTCATGATGAATATTGTGTCTTGTTCACCTTAGAGACGGCGCCATGATGCAGCTGTCTCCTTGGCACACACAGGCGCTGGAGTCGTCGTGGTTCATGCCCAGATTGTGCCCCATCTCATGAGCCAGAGTCGCCCCCACTGCTATCGCCCGGTCACTGTGGTCCTACACAGACAAGAGTCCAGGCTTTAAGGAACCATACGGAAGATTTTGTTTTTTTTACATTCCATAAATCTGTGTTCTGTTATCAGCTACTCCTTCCACAAAGTTGGTTCTCCAGGTCTCGTCCAGATCCGCCTGACTCGCCTGCGACCAACTGGTGCATCCAGAATTTGACAGAGGTGATTGCAGATCCTTCTCTGTTCTGTATCTCTGCAGATTCTGTACATTTGTTGGGAGCCTCCTGTAAGTTTATTGGGGCTGCAGCTTGAAGGTCCGACACATGAAAATGATCAGACATGTTCCTCTGATGGTGCTTTCTCAACTGGTTCACCTGTATTCAGCCTCACATTTTACTATAGGTGATTTTATGTATTTTACCATGTTAGTGTGTGTGTGTGTGTCTGGGTTGTTTGGTTGTGTGGAGTCAGGCAGCTGTGGGGGTTGGGTAGGTGGGTGGATGGAAATGTGGGATTGTTTTTAATCACTGTAAAGCCTTTTGTGTTGCATTTTTGTATGAAAAGCACTTTATAAATAAAGTTTGATTGATTGATTGATGTTTGTTTGTGTGTACTGTCTGTGTGTGACATAAACATGTACGTGACCTGAGCACATCTGACCAGAGTTTTGCGTCTTGGACAGTGTAGACAGAAACACTACGGCTGGAGGTTGGTTTCAGGTTTTGTTTCTTACATTCCATAAATCTGACCTGATCTAATCTGTGCCACCAGAAACGAGGTGAATATGTTCAAATCCAATATAGTTTTTATTGGTAATAATTGTAATGCTGATTTATTCTTGACTACAAAAACATTGGACAGAAACCTGGACCAGCACCTGCACCAAGCCTGAGTCAGTGCTAGTGCAGCCTCTGCAGCTCAGGGAGGGAATTCTGCAGGCTCTGAGTTTTTCACATGAGGCCTGTCCATAAACTGAGAATGAGACAAACTTGTATGTGTCCTCTGCAGGTTAAGACACTGGAAACAAAGATGCGTCGAATTTTCCAAGAAAAAATTAAACCTCTCTGTCTTATTTTATTCATTCTCATATAAAATCAAAATGAACCTCTGATGTGGCATTTATTCAGTTACTGGTGTTTATATTGAAAAAAATGTGACCCTTAACTTAGCCTGGATGTGCCTCTTGCTTGTCTCCATGGAGATAGATAAGTTTAATGCCACACTATGGAGTAAATCAATAATATCTCCATGGAGGCGAGTAAGTGACATGCACATAACTGTTATAAAGTATTAGTTACCTGCACCACTCCGACTGAGTGTCCCGAGCAAAGTGTTCCGATGAAGGCCAGTCCAACGGTGGATCCTTCAAAGTCTATTCCACTGAAAACAAACAATAATACTGTATGTCAGTGATTGGCTCCAAGCTCCTACCTGTGATTTCTGCCATTGTGCACTTGGGCAAGACTTCACACAGGCAAGGTGGGTCTTCCCAAAGTAAACAATACGGTGGGAGCAGAGTGTGCACAGAATTGGACTGAGGGAGTGTGACGTCACCCATAGTGTTTGCCTCCAGTCAAATGAAGCCCAGTTCTATAAACAAATGCTTTTGTTGTGAACACAGTTTGACCGCAGAAGGAGTCCAGTGATGATTTTTGTGCTTAAAAACTGCAAAGGAAAACCCAGATTTTTATCAGTGACTCAAAAATTTGTGCAAAACTAACAATTTTGAGTGTTCAAAGAAGATGATTTTGGATTAATGAAACAAGTGTGAATGAAATACAATACTCCGAGTACAGTTTTGATGAGGGGACAACACCGTAAAGCTCGGAACAGTAGTTTTGCATAATGTTTACATAATGAGCTCGCTGATGTGTCAGACCTGAGCAGATGGGCGTTGTCATGCTTCTTTTTTTTGACCAGCTCTGTGTTCCTCCACTTCATGAAGGCGTCCAAGTTTGCTCCGGCTGGAGGAGTGACTGTAATCTGGTCTTCTCTGGACCAGACCTCCAGCCCCACCAGAGCCACGAAGGTCCGCAGAGGTTTGTATGCCTGGAACAAAGCACCACATTTCAAGATTCCCATGCACAGAAGAATGATAGCTCACTGTCTCTTAAAACTAAACATATTAAATAAACAACTTATTAAAAATGAATGAAAGCAAAGACCACTCAGTTTTATTTATATGTAACTTTATATGTAAATTACGGAAGCCCTGAGAGGCAAGAGAAAAAAAAAAAAAAGAGGCAGGTCATTTGGGCTCTATTTTCTAAGTGTTTTTTTTTTTTTTTTTTTTTACCAGCTCAAAAAAAAAGCAGCGCTTTTGTCTTTCGCTGGCACGGAATCTCTGCCCCCGCCCCCTTCCCTGTCAGCAGATCTGCACTTACTGCAGACACTGTGGTCAAGTTGTTTTTTCTGGGCAAAAAAAATCTGAATACTGAGTAAAAGTTCATGTTGAAACTGTTAGTGCTGTGTTTTACTTTGTGAAAAATTTTGTTTAATGTTTACAAGGAATTTATTTTTTATAATATTTCATACATTTGTTGATATTTGAGAATATTTCATTGAACTTATTTGTATAACCAAACAGCACTTTGCATTTATTCTATTTTCCCGTTTGCATAATGTTAAAACAAATTGTTGAATAAACAACAAGCAAATGATTTAGCATTTTGTTCCCGTACTGTACCGTAAATGAACTGACCTCAAAACTGAGGTATGTACGATTTTTGTGTACCTCTATTAATCAGTGTCATTGAACATAAAAAAATAGTCCAAGTTCTTCCTCCAAAATCTGAACTCTGCTCCTAATCACACACTTTTTACTGGCAGAGGACTGGCTGTAGGTCAGTCCAAGCTAATCACTGACTAAAGAGAAAGAGAAAATCTTACTGATTGTTTTACTCACCATGTTAACAAAGTTGACCACTTCAAATATCCTCTTTCTCAGTTCCGCCACGTCTTGCTTCATTTTCAGGTACTGAAACAAAACCGCACAGTCTCACTTCAGAAAATTCAAGGAACACACTACTCACACAATGTAACACATTTTAGGTTCCTATAATCAACTACATACCAGTCTGTTATCAGCCACCAGATACAGTTCCAGGTATTTCTGCTGCTGAACAATGGTGATCCCCTGAAAATACACAAGAATTATTCATTATTATCAGGAAAAACGGGTTTTAGAATCTTTGTCTTGTAGCAATGTCTCAGAAATGTAAATGAATCAGTACATTTAAGCAACATGACCAGCTTGCAGTTGTAATGGATTAAATTTGATGACAGAAATTTAACGGGAACAACTCTGACAATAATTTATGGACTTAAAAACTGCTCAGAAATTTCTATCTATGATGTAACAATCTGGGAAAATTATTAACTATGATAATACAAGCTTAGAGCAAGAAGACCTCGTAAATAGGATTACTGAAACAAAGGTGAATAAAGAGAAATACAACTGCAGGTATGTTTTTGACGAGGGAACAACGTTACAAACAGATTAAAAATTGTTCTTTTAAAAGGTGCACTGTGCGCAACTCTCCTGGTGAAGGGTCCTCTACCTCGTTGTCTCCATGGAAATTATAGCTTCGCTTGGAATGTGAATCCGTGTATCATTCGTTCATTCGTTTTTCAATATAAAACCAAAAATAAGAAAACGAAAATACAACAGTTTTCTTCGCTATTTGTCTCCAAAACCAAAATGAAAAAACGGATAACGATCCTTTTTTTCAGTTTTCGATTTTGTGCTTAAATGAAGAATGGAAAAGAACAGATAACGGCAGTTTCCCGTTTACGCGACTTCCGTGACTGCAATGCCAAACTTTTGCACCGCGTGTGGACTGAACCAGGACTGAACCAGGACTGATCCAGGTCCGGGACCAGACCGACATGTTTGTTTCTGTGTACTGTATATGTGTGACATGTGTGTACGCGACCTGAGCACATCTGACAAGAGTTTTGCATCGTGGGCAGTGTAAGACGGAAACGCAACAGCGACAACTTCTCCACTCTGAAGGGTGGTTTTAGATTTTTGCATTTTTAAGCCCCAAAAATGCCGTCACCGTCTAAACGAAAGACACTTCTGATAAAATATTTTGTCGTTTCTGTGTACTGTATGTATGTGACGTAAACGCGTACGCAACGTGAGCAGATCTCATCAGAGTTTTGCATCGTGGGGAGTGTAGACGGAAAATCTACAGCGACAACTTTTCCACGCTGAAGGGTGGTTTCAGATTTTTGCGTTTTTAAACCCCAAAAACGCCGTCACCATCTAAACGAAAGGCACTTCCGATAAAATATTTTGTTGTTTTTACCTGCAAGCGTTCTTGTGTAAACAGGCCCTGAGTTTTCACATTACTTACCATTGACATCCATATAATGTTGCTTCTCGTTCTAAAAATGTGTACTGTTGATGTCACCTGGATAACCTCTGTTGGTTTACTCACGCCTGATCTGGAGCGGCTCCGGCTGGTTGGTGGTTCATAGTCATCGTCCCACGTGGTGTTGGTGACTCCGCACACGGCCGGAGTGGAGCGTTCTTCTTCATTGAAGGGGCTCACGGCGTGATCCCCCTCAGGGTCAGAGGTTAAAGGTTCAATCAGGAACCTCTGCTCTGACGTCCGGAAGTATCCTCTGAAAGAAGGACAAGAAGGACGGGGCGACCGCCACTGATTTACTCTGAGGGACACGAGGACACTGGACAAACTCCTGCTCACCCACTGCACCAGACTATACAGAGACAGATAATACCCTACACTGTACAACAACTCACCCACTGCACCAGACTATACAGAGACAGATAATACTCCCTACAACTGTACAACAACTCACCCACTGCACCAGACTATACAGAGACAGACCAGACTATACAGAGACAGATACACAGACAGATAATACTACAACCTACAACTGTACAACAACTCACCCACTGCACCAGACTATACAGAGACAGATAATACTCCCTACAACTGTACAACAACTCACCCACTGCACCAGACTATACAGAGACAGATAATACTCCCTACAACTGTACAACAACTCACCCACTGCACCAGACTATACAGAGACAGATAATACTCCCTACAACTGTACAACAACTCACACACTGCACCAGACTATAGATGGACAGATAATACTCCCTACAACTGTACAACAACTCACCCTTACGTAACAGATAATACTCCCTACAACTGTACAACAACTCACCCACTGCACCAGACTATAGATGGACAGATAATACTCCCTACAACTGTACAACAACTCACCCTTACGTAACAGATAATACTCCCTACAACTGTACAACAACTCACCCACTGCACCAGACTATAGATGGACAGATAATACTCCCTACAATTGTGCAATAACACATCCTTATGGAACAGATAATACTTCTAAAACGAAACAAGAAACAAGACATTTAGTACATATAAGGGCCTTAGATGAGGTACAGTTAAATGTCTATAAAACATAAACCATTATACATTTAGTAGTGTACAAAGTTAGGCATCAAAATGATACATGTACCATGGTAATAGACATTTAATTATTCACATTTTACTTATTTAGCACAATATGTTTAATTCAGAAATCCCTTGGCGAGCTACTTGGAAGGGGGTGGAGCTACAGGTTTGAGACCTCTGCTCTAAATGAACTTACTAATGCTGGGCGTGCACTGTGCGACATTTTCGATTGTTTCACTCAGCCCCAACTCAAACTGTATGACCAAATTGCAGGGTTTAAAAGTTCACAGTTCATGTTCTCACACTGTTCGAACTACTTTAACAGTGCAAAACCCTCACGAGCGGCGACTGGATTTCCTACAGTTGCCGAGAGCTGGTCGTGAGGTATTAATTGGTTCTCATTGCCCCATGTTTACTATGCAAAGCACGACACACGATCAAGCCAAAACTCGGCCTGATCCCAAAAACTGTTGTTGAGTGAAAAATCATCTCAAAAAGGGCCAAAAATTGCACAGTGTAACCCCGGCTTAAGTGAACACCCCCACTGAAGAACTTTGCACCCCCAAATCTCCTTCAACCAAAAATGTGTGGCACCACCCTTGCCCTTTTATAACAGATAACCTTATGCCCTGTCAGTCATTATCTTATGACGGAGTATAAGGCTTGGATAAAAAAAAAAAAATAAAAAGATGCTGGCGCTATGAGAATAAAGTCGTAATATTTCGACATTAAAGTTGTAATATTACGAGAATAAAATCGAAGCCAGAAAAAGTCGTAATTTTACGAGAATAAAGTCATAGTTTTACGAGAATAAAGTCATAATTTTATGAGAATAAAGTTGTAGTCAAAATAAAGTCGTAATATTACGAGAATATCGGCTGCTCGGAAAGTATGAATGAGTCTGAGGCTGGTGCTCTGGACAATTTGGAGCATTTTGTAAAGGAGAAGAATCCGTGTATCATTCATTCATTCGACTGAAACAGGACTGAATCAGGACTAAACCAGGTCCGGAACCAAACCAGAACTAAGAACAGGATTGAGACCGGGACCAGACTGGGACTGAAAGCGGTTTAGTCCTGATTTAAGTCACGGAAATGAGAAACTGCATTTCCGTGACTTAAACCAGGATTGAACCAGGACTAAACCAGGACTAAACCAGGACTGAACCAGGACTAAACCAGGACTAAACAGTTTTCAGTCCTGGTATAGTCCCGGTATCACGGTCTGGTCCTGGTCTGGTCCCGGCCTCAGTCCCGGTCTCAGTCCTGGTCTCACTCCTGGTCCTTGGTCTGGTCCCGGTTTCAATCCTGGTCTTAGTTCTTGTCTGATCCCGGGCTCAGTCTTGGTCCCGGACTCAGTCCTTGTCCGGTCCCGGTCTAAGTCCTGGTCTCAGACCCGGTTTGGTCCCGAACCTGCATTTAGTCCTGGTTCAGTCCTGGTTAAGTCCTGGTTCAGTGAGGAGGCGCAAATGAAGAAAATAGTTGTTTTTTCGTTTTCTTGTTTTTGGTTTTATATTGAAAAACCAATGAATGAAAGATACACGGATTGAAAAGCATCTTCTTCACGTTGACTTTGAGTTTATTACAACTTTATTCTCGTAATATTACGTCTTTATTTTGACTTTGACTTTATTCTTGTAAAATTATGACTTTATTCTTGTAATATTACGACTTTAATGTCGAAATGTTAGGACTTTATTCTCGTAGCGCCAGCATCATTTATTTTTTTTATCTGAGCCTTATACTCCGTCGTATTATATCATCTTTGCATGGTTTTTCCTTACTACTTCTTGTAATCATGAATAAATGCTAGTGCAAGCTCTGCAGTCTCTGTTTTTAGTAATATAAGTCATTTAAAGCTCACCTGAGTCCGTCACATGTGCTGATGCTGGCTGCTGACGCATTATCGCCCACGATCTTTCCTTGGTAATAGCAGTCATCCTGTGATGACATTAATAATAGTTAATAATAGGTCAGATTTACATAAGTGTGGTTGTAGTTTGTATTTAGAGGAAATAAAAGCTGCTGTTTCTCACGATGTGGTCTGGAGAAGTGGTGACGCGAGTGCCATCTTCACTGTAGTGAGTCTCGCTGTAGTCTTGGGTCAGTAACTCACTACAATGACAGGAAGAAGAAATACGTCATGGAAAAAATAGTACAACTGTTGAACAAAAGTATGATATATATTTTTTGTTCATGTTTTTTAATGGAATACAAACTGACACTACAATCAGGAGTCCGACTCCACCCACCTCGACATGAACATAAATTAACATAAGGCCGAGATCAGGTATCAGGGTTTAGAGAGAGTCGGGCTGCGAATGGAGAAACTGCCGAAAATACTGCTGTAGTGAAAGCGTTAAGTTAAAACCCTCTTCAAGATTATTTTGGCTGTTTGGTGTTGTGTGCATGTGTAGATAATGTAAGCAGATGTTTCTGTGTTAACAAGTTGTGGCTTTCTTTGATCGAGTTTCTGCTGTTGTTGGCTTAATTGATGTGTTTATGCCTCTGGAATGTTGTCACACCTGCTGTAAGACAAGAAAAAGAAGACAGACCAGACCAGATACTGGCCCAGCCCCAGGGACCTGGTCCTACCAGGCCAGGAACATGACAGTGCCTCTTCATGCAGCTCTGAAAGATCTGCAGCTACAGAACCAAGAGCTCGAGCAGAAAGCGACAAATACATTTTTCGTTCTCATTACTGTTTATTTTGTACGATCATAAACGATCAACTTTATGCCTTCTTCAGTAATGTTATTAGTTTGTACGACCATAAATGAAAACAAAAAATCTATACATTTTTCATTCTCATTACTGTTTACTTTGTACCATTATAAATGATAAACTTTGTGCCTACAATATTATTATTAGTTTGTACGACCATAAACAAAAATATGTTTCTGCATGTATGTATATGTGTGTTATGCATGTGTGTGTATAAACATTTATATTGAGTATATGTACTGGATATCTATGATGTGTATATGTATGTATGTACATATGTGTGTACACATATATGTATGTATGTATGTATGGGTGAATATGTTTTTGTATGTGGGTATATTTTTGCAAATGACAGCTAAGCACTCCAAAGGTGATATTTAAAAAAAGAAAAAGTGAACCATGTGATTATGTAAAACAATTGGGGCAGGACTCCATAAGTTTTTTAAACTTCATCCTCCTCCTTTTGAGCACCAGGTCCCAAATATGTCATGTACATATCACTATTTTTGTTATTGTTTTTAAATTTTGTTGAATGAATGAATGAATGAATGAGAGTGACCAAAGGCTAAAGTAGTTCCAGCACAATCCCAGAGTGAGGATCTGAAGGGGGAGCTCAAACACCTGGATAGACTCATGAAGCAGTGGGCAAGACGGCAGAGGAGACACACGAGTAATTTAAGCTCTGCGTGTCGATCAACTAGAACTCCACAAAATCTTCCATAACTCAAAAACAAACTAGTGACAATGAGTGTGTTTACATGCACATCAGTATCCTGGTTATTAGTCATATCCCGGTTATGTCAGTATTTGGGATACTGTGTTTACGTGCGCGCTGAGAAACCGGGATACTCATATTCATGTATACATGATCAAATAGAGTATCCTGGTTTCTTATTTCAATAGATCCATGGATTCTAACCAGCGGTACAGAGCTATGAGGTATCCCACAATCCACTGCACACATCAAACCCAACGTGTAGGTTTTTTATTAAAATACTCTGCATAAATAAACTCTGCTTTATAACATATGAACCATAACCACATCAGCTCGTTTGATCATATAATTTAGCTTTGTCACATTTGTTTACGTTTTACTGAAACTAACCGCATGACTCATTAGCATAAACTATTAGTGCGATAAAAACAGCTCGCTCCTTGTGCTGTTGATGTGGTTCAGCTTCTGTAGGACTAATGGACACGACTCAGTGGATTATGTGTTTTTTCTGTGACAGAGGAGTGGCTGATGATGGTAAGTGTGTTCTGTGTGTATATCGTATAGGAGATGTTTCATGTTGAACTTTTTTTTTTCGATCAGACGTGTGCAGGTCATACGAGGTTTACACCCTTATCATCAGAAGGCCCCCTAGTCAGAAAGCCCACTAGTCAGAAGGGTCCACTAGTCAGAAGGCCCTGTAGTCAAAAGGTCCACAGGTCAGAAAATCATGACCTCTTCTATTGGTTTGTCAGCAACATATCTGTTGAACAATTGAATGTATATTTGATATAATCCCTGGATATCAGGGAAGAATGAGTAAACTTTTGGATGTATACCAATTAAAAATGGCTGCAACATCAACATTTTTTAGTTTAATCATGCACAACAGCATTAGCTAAGGCCAGCATTACTTCATTTGTTGGTTTACAAACCCACCAATGTTATATTAAAAGAAAAAGATTTCAAATAAAATTGAAATGAAGGTTGTAGAGCTCGAATTACTGAACATTTTGCAAGTTGTTGCCTGAAAATCAGACAATTATTAACCCTGCTACACTTAAGACAGACATTTACCCCAAATCATTATTTCCTCAAACATTTTTGCTGTATTTTAAGGCTTTAATATATTTATTACTTTTAATATGTACTTTTTAAAATATTTAAAACTTGAAATACAATTTCATTTGTAACAATTTGTAACACGACCTGAACATGGCTTTTCTCACTAGAGGCTCTTCTGATGATAAGGCTGACCCCTGTACCAGTGCAGATTCCTGTGCAGGTTTAACACAGTCATTTCACTCATGTATGGCCACTTTATTTATGTCACTGTTATAGTGGTGAAAAGACTGAAAAGTATTATGTCTTTTGGACGCATGCGTACTCAAATTTATGCTGCAGTAACCGGGATACTGCGTTTACATGCCACAGTATCCCGGTTATTATCGGAAAATACCAACTACAGTATCTCGGTTTCTAATAACCGGGATACTGCCATAACCGGGATACTGAAACCATATACATGCACTATGACGAAACCGGGATACTCAAAAAGCCCAATCATAACTGGGATACTCATGTGCATGTAAACGCACTCAATCTCGAGATGAGTGGAGGGAGCACACGTAGAGGTTGAAGCTATTACGAGATGAGCTAACAAAGAGCAGCTGTCAGATTCAACGCTTTAAGCAGAACTAACCACGCCTAAAGACGAACTAAAGCAGGATATACCATCTCTTATACAAGATAAGTATAGAAAGTTTCAAGAGAACAACAGAGCGCTATTTATTTTGATCTGTTTTTAAAAAGGGGAAATCGCCCATGTGATCATAAATGCCGAAGAGCTTATCTTAGATCTTTACGATGTGCAAGTGTGTTTAGGGACAGGGCCTCATCTTCAGTGAGGACTCCCTGCTCACCAACAAAGACGGGCTCAGCCTTATCATCAGAAGACCCTCTAGTCAGAAGGCCCTCTAGTCAGAAGGTCCTCTAGTCAGAAGACCCTCTAGTCAGAAGGTCCTCTAGTCAGAAGACCCTCTAGTCAGAAGGTCCTCTAGTCAGAAGACCCTCTAGTCAGAAGGCCCTCTAGTCAGAAGACCCTCTAGTCAGAAGGTCCTCTAGTCAGAAGACCCTCTAGTCAGAAGGCCCTCTAGTCAGAAGGTCCTCTAGTCAGAAGACCCTCTAGTCAGAAGGCCCTCTAGTCAGAAGGCCCTCTAGTCAGAAGACCCTCTAGTCAGAAGGTCCTCTAGTCAGAAGACCCTCTAGTCAGAAGGCCCTCTAGTCAGAAGAGCCTCTAGTCAGAAGGTCCTCTAGTCAGAAGGCCCTCTAGTCAGAAGAGCCTCTAGTCAGAAGGTCCTCTAGTCAGAAGGCCCTCTAGTCAGAAGACCCTCTAGTCAGAAGACCCTCTAGTCAGAAGGCCCTCTAGTCAGAAGGTCCTCTAGTCAGAAGGTCCTCTAGTCAGAAGAGCCTCTAGTCAGAAAATCCATGTTCAGGTAGTGTTACAAATTGTTACAAATGAAATTGTATTTTAAAAACCAGGTCTAAAACCAGGTCTAATCTAGGACTAAAACCAGGTCTAAATCAGGACTAAACTAGGACTAAAACCAGGTCTAAACCAGGTCCAAACAAGGTCTAAACTAGGACTAAACCAGGATTAAACCAGGTCTAAACATTATGACACTAACAGTAGGTGGACATACTTGAAGGCAGCAGTGATCTCATATAAAAATCATTTCTCTATCAATAATATTTTTTATTTGATTAAGGAAAGACTGGACTTTTTATTTTCTTTTAACAGATAAAACTTCTTACGTTCAGATTCTCATCTTTGTTACTTTACAGCAAACAGTTGCTTGTTCATGGAGACTTGGACTCAACAGACAAGAGTGAAGAGAACAAACATGAATTTTCAGGATGTGGTTGTTACATTCATGTAGTTTTAAAAAGCATGACAATATCAAGTAATCCAAAGTATTCAGATTACGTTACTCACTTTAAGTAATTTAATGGATTATTGTACAAACTACATTTTGAGGTATGTAATCTGTAATCTGTAGGGGAATACATTTTAAAAGTCACCTTCCCAACACTGACTATATATAACAAAAAAAAAAAAACAACAACATTTGAACTGTGTCTCTTATAAATGTCTTGTTAATGTGCAGTAACTCACTCATTCCTCTCCAGGTGCATCTCCAGGGGTTGTCCTCTCACAGTCAGAGCGTATTTAACCGTCTGTGGTCTGTGGGTCTGAGGAGCACAAACATTGACAGAACAAGATGAGACAAAGGCAAACCCAAAACCGGCCCCAAGAGCTTCACAAAGATACAAAAGGTATTGAAATAGTAGGTGAATACTCAATAACTGTTTGTTATGTACTGGCGCCCCTTTGCACATCCCATTGTGTGGATTAATTGTCTGTTTTGGGGACGTGGTTGGTCTGCGTATAAATAGGCCGCCTAAACCTGTGTATCATTCGTTCATTTGTTTTTCAATATAAAACCAAAAATAAGAAAATGAAAAAAAAACAAAACAGTTTTCTTCGTTATTTGTCTCCAAAACCAAAATGAAAAAACGGATAACGATTCGTTTTTTTCAGTTTTCGATTTTGTGTTTAAATGAAGAATGGAAAAAACGGATAATGGCCGTTTCCCGTTTATGTGACTTCCGTGACTGCGATGCCGAACTTTTGCACCGCGTACGGACTGAACCAGGACTGATCCAGGTCCGAGACCAGACCGGGACTAGAGCGGGACCAGAGCGGGACTGAGACCGGGACCAGAGCAGGACCAGAGCGGGATCAGAGCGGAACTGAGACCGAGACCAGTGGTCCGAGCGGTTCCGTGTCATCGTCTGTGCGCTGGTTCCGTGTGGGGAAAGTGAGAATGTTCTGTGGACTACAGGTCCGGACGGGCTGCTCCAGTCCTCCTCGCTCAAGAACCGCGACTGGTTCCGAGGTGGTGCAAAGCATCCGACTGACGCTTTCACACCAACGAAAATGAACCCAACTAAGAGCTTTTGGTTCAAATGGACCAGGTCCGGGACCAGACTGGGACCAGAGCGCTACTGAGACTGGGACCAGACCGGGACCAGAGCGCTACTGAGACTGGGACCAGACCGGGACCAGAGCGGGCCTGAGACCGAGACAAGACTGAGACAAGACCGGGACCAGACCAGAGGCTCAGAGCCCACGGCAGGGCCGGAGCTCGAAGCTGAGGCTTGGACCCCGCGGAGGCTCAGAGTCAAAGCTTGGAGTCTGCCCCAGTCCTGCCCCTGCTCTGGTCCTGCTCTGGTCCTGGTCTGGTCCCGCTCTGGTCCCGCTCTAGTCCCGGTCTGGTCTCGGACCTGGATCAGTCCTGGTTCAGTCCGTACCCGGTGCAAAAGTTCGGCACAAAATCAAAAACTGAAAAAACGAATCATTATCTGCTTTTTCATTTTGGTTTTGGAGACAAATAACGAAGAAAACTGTTGTTTTTTCGTTTTCTTATTTTTGGTTTTATATTGAAAAACGAATGAACGAATGATACACGGATTTGCCTATCAGTGGCGCGTTCTCTTGCTCTTGCTCCTGCGTGCTCGCTACGCACCGCCTCGCCCTCCGCACACCTGGGCACACACTCGTCACTATGCGCGCTCCCTGGTCTTGGCTGCTCGGCGCAGGCTGCACGGTGCCTGTTAGCTGCTGTTAGCCTTTTGTGTTTGACCTGGTGGGAGCGGCTGTCCTGTTTTCGCCTTTTGTTTGGTAAGTTTAGTTTGGGGACGTCTTTTTTCCTTTAGTTTAGCGATGTTGGTACCGGCTTCTACGGCCCTGTACGGGGTTGGTCCGGTGCCGCATCATTTTGTTCTGTTTGGTGCTCACCAGGTCCACCTTTCAGTTGTTACTTTGTTTTTTGGGCACGGGAGGGGTTTTAGCGTTTTTAAAGTAAATTAAAATCAACTTAAAATAAACACATCTTTTACTTTTGTAACCTTTTCGCCTCCTGTGTCCTCATTAATATGATTGATCCACCCGGGTCGTAACACTGTTAGGGATGTAGAAATAATCGAAATATTGTGATATCGTCATTATCATCAAAGGTCTCATAATAATATCATGGACCATCATAATATCTCAAATTACAAGCAATAGCTAAAAAAACTACATAGACCATAGGGATGTAATGATATCCAAATCTCTCTGTACGATATTATCACGACATGCATCTCATGGTACGATATTTATTGCGATATTTTGAAGAGGCTGATATAATTGTAGATCGGACACTTTTTTGCTTTTAAAATACCATGACAAGATTTTGGTGTGAATTATTTCCGTCATAATCCCAAGAATTCAAGTCAAAAACATATTTCTTCATGTTGTCTGCGCTGAAATGAATCATGGGATATGTAGTTCCTGATGTTCATAAGCTGTTTATACTATAAAAGCATGCATTTAAGCAAAGGAATTTGTAATTTGATATATTGTGACAGCCCACGATATTATTGTGAGACTTTTGAGAATACGATATCACGATATTTCGGTTATTGTTAAATGGAGTAAGAAAGCTTTCAGAAATATTCGTGCGCATAGAATAGAAACCGTGCATATTTGGCTGTAGTTGCGCATAAAATAAATATTCGTAAACTTTCAAATGAGTCCAGTACAGATTACAGATTACACATCTCAAAATATAGTTTGTAATGTAATCTATTCAATTACTTAAAGTGAGTAATGTAATCTGAATACTTCGGATTACTTGATTTGCTGTAGAGTTTCAACCTGGTTTTAGTCCTGGTTTTTGACCTGGTTTAGACCTGGTTTAGACCTGGTTTAGACCTGGTTTAGACCTGGTTTAGAACTGGTTTAGAACTGGTTTGGACCTGGGTTTAGTCCTGGTTTAGACCTGGTTTAGACCTGGTTTTAGTCCTGGTTTTGACCAGGTTTAGTCCTGGTTTAGACCTAGTTTAGACCTGGTTTTAGACCTAGTTTAGACCTGGTTTAGAACTGGTTTGGACCTGGGTTTAGTCCTGGGTTAGACCTGGTTTAGACCTGGTTTTAGTCCTGGTTTCGACCTGGTTTTAGTCCTGGTTTAGACATGGTTTTAATTCTGCTTTAGTCCTGCTTTAGTCCTGATTTAGACCTGGTTTGGACCTGGTTTAGATATAGTTTTAGACCTGGTTTTAGTCCTGGTTTAGACCTGTTTTTAGTCCTGGTTTAGACCTGGTTTTAGTCTTGGTTTAGTCCTAGTTTAGTCCTGATTTAGACATGGTTTTAATTCTGCTTTAGTCCTGCTTTACTCCTGGTTTTAGTCCTGGTTTTAGTCCTGGTTTTAGTCCTGGTTTTAGTCCTGGTTTAGACCTGGTTTAGTGTCCGGCAAGGAGTGGAATTACTGAAAAAAAAAAAAAGAAAAAAAAAAAGGGATATAGCCCAAAATGTGAAAATAGGAAAATTCCCGCCGTGTAATCCATTTATTCCAACCAAGTAACTGTAATCCAATTACCACTCACTGAAACAGTAACTGTAACTGAATACAGTTACTCATAATTTGTACTCTGATTACGTAACTTGAAAACATGAAACATGAAAATTTACGATTACTCTTTCATCAGTACGAATACGAATTCACAGACGGGACTTTACTGTCAAAAATACATCATCACTTCACAGACATTATTTATCGAGCAGAAGAAACATCGATCAAGATCAAGACTGTGCATGTTTAAGTTTGTAGCAGAGGGTAAAAACAGAGTAATGGCACAACAAGGAGCTACAACAGCGACCAACAAGTGGGTTCATTCAAATTTATTGTAAAAATGTCTTGTCTTACAAATGTCTTGTGTTACAGACATCACAACCAATGAGATGTGACACATTACAGTTTGATGCAGCTTCCAGCATCAATTCATGTTCGTGTTTACAGGCAACACCTTGCTGTACACAGTATTTACCGGTAAGTATTGAAAGTTTACAAATATTTATTTTATGCGCAACTACAGCCAAATATGCACGGATTTCTATTCTATGCGCACAAATATTTCTGAACGCTTTCTTACTCCATACTGTTACAGGCCTAATAGACCATGATCCTTTGCTCTGTTACAGTGCAGCCTACATGAAGAAATAACAGTTAGAAGCACTTTTAAATCTTAGTTCCTTGGGTTGAGTCTTGTCAAAGGCATTTTAAGAGGAAAAAGTAGCGTATTTACAGTTTTGTTAGTTTCCAAAAAATATATCAGTAAATATTGTACCATGGGAGATATATATGAGCCCGGTCAAGCAGAAGTAAACAGCAAGGCCAAAAATTGAAGTGAATGCATCTGATATAAAAATGTATTGAACAGATACATATGTACTCTAGTTTATGAAACTGTTGACCTTTTTTCTGTACCATTTTTGGTTCTAAAGTTCCATATGTTTTAAACAGACCATGTATGAAACATGGAACAAAAATTATTTCCCAAATTTCAAAGACCTGCAAATCATGTAAATAAATGGATGTATTTCATCATATCTTGTGTTATTCCATCTTTGAACTGTTGATGAAGGTTCATGATTTAAAAAAAATAATAATGTATTTAAAATGATTAAAATTAGCTTGGAAGGACTGACATATTTTATAGAAATAGTTTCCTTTTCATTTTGAAGTAATATTAAAGTATTTGGAAGAAAAAAGCGACAAATGATGTAAAATCCTGCACCTTCTACTTGTTTGCACAATTTTCCCTCCGTTACTTTTCCCTCCGTTACCATGACCTTTCTTAATAAAAAATCTCATGAGTCAAAAAGTAAGAGGTTTTTCAACCTAATCTTGTACCATATGGTAGAAAACTATATGAAGCAAATATTCAAACCAGTTTGTTAAGGATATGGAAGTGAGAACCAAGAGTTATCACTGTTTGGATTTATTGCCCAAAAAGTGCTGCATATTTCATTCCCTCCGTTACCCAACAGTTTTTTTAATTTTTTGTCAACAACTTGAAAGAATATCACAGGTTTAACTTGACCCTGTTGGAGTGTAACTCTTTCCTACATTCTGATACTTTACTTATTTCAATAGTCCCTCTAGTTTCTGAATAAGAGACATTTGAATGTGAAAAATCTGCCCCTGTTTCCCTCCGTTACCACTTGACCAGACCCAAATCATGAAAATATCGTACTGAGTGATTTAAATATTGTTACATCCCTAGTAATTGTTGAGTTGAAAAAAATTGGTCTAATATCTAATTGTAATTTTTTCTGACATGAATGTGATTAGATTTGAGATTCTACTTTCAATAACTGGATTCTAAGGATGGTATAAAATGTCCGTGCCACAAGATCTCACGAGACAAAATTGCCACAAGACCGGGCAGAGAAAAATTTCCCTCAAGTACTTACATTTGGATTGGACAAAAAAAGGTTAGGGGTTGGCGAGTTACGTCTCTTACATTTTCAAAAAGCAGTACTAGAATGGAAACAAAACTATGAAATCATTTATATATTAGGAATCATGTTAAAATCTTGTCTTGTCTCGTTCTCGGGGACTTAATCTTGTATCTGGTCTCGTTTTGTGAAAATCGTGTCTCGCCCCATCGAGATACTGACATTTTATGATATGTTGTGTTTCAAATAAAGGATAAAATAAATCCTATTGTATTACTAGACGTATAAAAAGTTATCTTCCATATCTTTTCCTACCTCGGCGTCTCTCTTGTTGACTGTGTGAAGTCGAACCGGTCTCACGATCTCGTAATCGTCTCCCAAGTTTCGGCCCTGGACCAAGGCTCACTGTGGAGATGAACAGAAAACAACGATGTTACAAATTCTTCAATCCAAGATTCTTCTTCATCAAGGTTTAACAGCAGCCTGCATTCTATTGATACGATTGCATGCATGTCTATGGAAAAATGTCCAGCGGTTACCATAGTGAATACTGATTTTAAGAAGCGTGTGATCGATCCAAGGTGTAGTGGACCAAACGGAAAGGCAAAGACAAGGTATAAAAACAAGTTTAAATGTAATAAAGTCAAATAAATGTAGTTTAACAAAGGCTCAAATGAGTTAAATCATTAACAAACAAGTCGGGCCCAACTGGGGGAACTTAAATCAAACTGAACAGAACAAAACGAACCCAACCAGACAAAGAACAGGGCTTAATAGTCCAATGAGATTCATTTGGTCTTCCAATATTCTATGTTATTAGGTTCTTTTTTTCAGACCTAGAGTGTTATTTCATACCTGACAGTTTGGACTGCTCACTAGCGTCTTCCTCAGTGTCACGTGATGTTGCTGTGACGTGTCTGGTCAGCTGATTGAAACAGGTTTTGGCGCTGTCTTCCTACCGGTGGAGGCAGGACAACAGCGCCACCTGCAGTCCGACTTCCTCAGGACAGCATCCCAGGTGTGTGAGAGTAAAAAAGCCCCCTCGTCCCGGTTTACAGTCCTGTGGGCACGTTTCCGTATTTCGATTGCTTCTTTAATTCTTTAATTAGGACTGTAAACCAGGACGAGGGGGCTTTTTTACTCTCACACACCTGGGATGCTGTCCTGAGGAAGTCGGACTGCAGGTGGCGCTGTTGTCCTGCCTCCACCGGTAGGAAGACAGCGCCAAAACCTGTTTCAATCAGCTGACCAGACACGTCACAGCAACATCACGTGACACTGAGGAAGACGCTAGTGAGCAGTCCAAACTGTCAGGTATGAAATAACACTCTAGGTCTGAGAAAAAAGAACCTAATAACAAAGAACAGGGCTGTTTAAATACTCTGAATTATAAGACGCACTGTCATTAAATGGTCTATTTTCAAACTTTTTTCACAAATAAACCGCAGCGGACTTTAAAGGAAACACAAGAGTGTGATGGGTGAGTGGTTTTGTTTGTTTGTTTGTTCACGGTGACTCTGGGCTTTGTTCAGTTGTGGGGTGTAGGGAGGGTGTGTCTGGGACCAACGGATTGTCAGCGTGTTCACAGTGACTCAGTTGTTCAGTTGTGTCTAGAAGTGGCACATTGCACTCGCTTTTTCGGTTCTTTCCTCTGTTCCATTCCTCGTCGGTGTGGAGTGATGAGTGTGTCTGTGGGTGTTTTTCGCTGTGTGGTCGCTGTCTGCTCTGTGTGTGTTTGTGTGTTCTGCTGGTGGTGTGGCTTTGTAGTTTAGTGAAGTCGTGCTGGGACACCTGAGTGGATTCGTGTATGGGGTGCTCTGGATTTTGGGGCGCGCAGTCGTTTTTTGATGGGGTTGGAGGCTTAAGAGCGCGTCTAATAGTGCGGAAAAAACGGTATACAAAATGATTAACTAAAACTACTAACTTAATCAAAGTAACAAAAAGGCAAATAAGTATACATCTGTACGAGGCTCACCTTTTGTGGCCTCGCTATTTGTTTTTTAGTGCAATTTTGCATGCGCCACCGGGCCAAGTGGATATGGAGAGGTAAGAGCAAAGTTTTTAAACAAATGCAAAATAAGTTAAATTACTGCACAGCCGTCCCTCGCTATATCACGGTTCACTTTATTATGTACGTATTGTGTTCCTCCTCCTGCGTCTGAATGGCTATGGGACTGTAGACCATTGTCAATCAGTTTCCTTTATGTCGTGTCTCTTGTACAGTACAGATGTGTTCAGCTGCCAAATTTAAATAAATGTTGGATTTCTAGCAGTGTGATTCTGAAGTGTTGTATGTTTGCAAGTTTTCTCCCCGACAAAACCCACAATGTCGATGAAATGTTCTGCACCAACAAAGGCTCCTGCGCTCGCACTCAAAAGACAGAGGAAGATGTAACCATTGCATAAAAAGTTAGACTTCTGGACACGCTGAAGGAAGGGAGGAAGTTACTCGGCTGTGGCGGCGTCCTGCACCGGGTCGGGTGCGGGCAAAGGGTTGCTGAAACAAGCGGGCTTTAAAGTTCTGGAATTTTATGGGCGGGTATGCGAGCGGGTAGTAAATACACACGGGTGGGTCAGGACTGGGTCAGGACTAAACCAGGTCTAAACCAGGACTAATCTTGGACTTAAAAGCGAGAACACCGAAGCAGGGTGTCCGCAAAGTGCGATGGGGCAACAGCCGCGCTTCCATTCGTGAGGTGCGGAGCTGAGTCGGTCCTTTCTCCTGCGGTCACCTCCGAGTCCGTCCAGTGAGTCCTGTTTCAGTCCTGGAATCAGTCCTAGGTTAGTCCTGGGTTAGTCCTGGTTTAGTCTTGGTTCAGTCCGTGCAGCGCAAGTTTTTTTTTTTTTTTTTTACTTGTTTTTATTAAATAATTTTGGTGCAAGCCACATAATTATGAAACAGCAGTAAAGATGCAACACAAGTAAAATGACAATAAAGTTACAGTATAGATACAGTCATACACAGTCTCCTCATTCATCATTCATAATATACAACACACACACTACAACAAAAATCCTACAAAAGAGAGTCATCCTTTTGAAATGTAAGGCTGAATTGAAGACCATTTATCCATGAATAAATCTGTCTTCATTTGTAACCTTGCAGTTATTTGCTCCATATGATATACATCCTTTATTTTATTTTTCCACTGGGTAATTGTGGGGGGCAGCGGCCTGAGCCAGGAGACCTCGTGCAGCGCAAGTTTGATAATCTCAGGTTAACGGGCGGGTGTGGTGTTGTACTGTGAGGGTGCATGTCTCCAAAAATGGACCCATGCAGGACTCTGCGCTGTAGACTCCAATACAGAATAAATGAATCTTCCGTTCGTTACATAAAGAAGGAGGAAAATAACAAAAGGACGACAGCAGCAATAAGTTTTAAGAAGGATGTAAAAAGGGTTGTAACTGTCCTGTGTGAGAAAAGTGCATAAAGTTTGTGCTGAGGTTTTACAGTCTTAAAACAGATAGAATCATTGTAAAAAATAAAGCTGACGACTTTGCAAGTTTCACCTATTACGGGTTATTTTTAGAACATAACTCCTGCGATAAATGAGGGAACACTGTAATACAGAAAATAATAAGTGACCTTAAACAAACTAGACAAATTAACTTAATAAAACTAACTAAATCCCCACTTTGTTCGGCGTGGATGATCCCTTGTCTGGCCACTAAAAAAAAAAAAAAAAGATAAATTGTAAATGATAATCCAGACTTTTAACTAAAATGTGTGCACCCAAATTAGAATACAAGTCTAAATAAAGTAATTCAGTGAAACTATATGTGCTGTAATCCACTTAATGTAAATAGAAATGGAAAGAAATAAGACAGAAGTATCAGCCGCAAAGTCCTTCTGGTTTTCGGACCAACTTCCACTTCAGTCATCTCACGCTATTTTCATTTAAAAGTACTTAATTCAGTTTGAACATGATTTTTGTTCCTTTTTCACTGTCACCAAACAGCAACGCACGTTTCAAAGATCCATTTACAAGTCCCAATTCTTTCAGTCGACTTGTCCTTCCTTGTTTCTGTATTTGTCTCTACACGATTGCACATTTAATCCAGTTTTTTTTTTTTTTTTTTTTTTTTCATTTTAGTGGAATTATCCAAGTTACCAAATGCAACTCCTACTCCTGGGAAAACTGTAACTTAGTGGGAGACATTCACTTTATTAAAAAGGTCGGGAGGGTGGATGTGGCTAGATTCCCGCATGTCCTTGGGCAAGACACTTTGGCCTGGCTGTGGGATTAGATGAAGTTGAAGGAGACACTTAAAACGGCCCAGATTACACAAAAGGTAATAATGTTGTTTCCTCATCATAAACGTACCTGGATTGTTTAATTTAATGCACAAATCCTGCATATTTAAGATGAGTTCCACCTGGTTATGTCAAGTATGTGGTAATCAGTGTTGGGGAGTAACAGATTACATGTACTGGAGTTATGTAATCAGAGTACAAATTATGAGTAACTGTATTCAGTTACAGTTACTGTTTCAATGAGTGGTAATTGGATTACAGTTACTTTGTTGAAATAAATTGATTACATGACAGTATTTTCCTGTTTTCACATTTTGGGCTATATCCCTTACCAGGACTAAAACCAGGTCTAAACTAGATCTAAACCAGGCCTAAACCAGGACTAAAACCAGGTCTAAACTAGATCTAAACCAGGCCTAAACCAGGACTAAAACCAGGTCTAAACTAGATCTAAACCAGGCCTAAACCAGGACTAAAACCAGGTCTAAACTAGATCTAAACCAGGCCTAAACCAGGACTAAAACCAGGTCTAAACTAGATCTAAACCAGGCCTAAACCAGGACTAAACCAGGTCTAAACTAGACTAAACCAGGTCTAAAAACTAAACAGGTCTAAACTAGATCTAAACCAGGCCTAAACCAGGACTAAAACCAGGTCTAAACTAGATCTAAACCAGGTCTAAACCAGGACTAAAACCAGGTCTAAACTAGATCTAAACTGGGGCTAAAACCAGGTCTAAATTTGATCTAAACCAGATCTAAACCAGGTCTAAACTAGGACTAAACCAGGTCTAAACTAGATCTAAACCAGGTCTAAAATAGGATTAAACCAGGTTTAAAACCAGGACTAAACCAGGTCTAAAACCAAGTCTAAACTAGATCTAAACTGGGGCTAAAATCAGGTCTAAACTTGATCTAAACCAGAACTAAAACAGGATTTAACAGGACAAAACCATGCCATGTCTCCTCCTCTTCTATCAATAATATTTTTAATACGGTTAAGGAAAAACTGGGCTTTTTATTTTCTTTTAGCAGACAAAACTTCTTATGTGAAGATATCTGAGTCTTTGCTTCTCTACAGTAAATCAAGTAATCCAAAGTATTCAGATTACATTACTCACTTTAAGTAATTTAATGGATTACGTTA